TTCAAACCCGCCACTTTTTTTTACCCTCCAGGCGAAACCTTCGGGCCCATTGAACGCTGCTTGCGTCACGCAATTTGTATTTTAATTTGTGTAATTAATTGTTTACTTCTAATTTGCGTGTTCGCGTGTTATGTTTTTTCCCTTTCGTTCAAATTGGCGTGCCATATTTTTACAGTTAGTTACATCTTCCAATGTCCTAATCCCCTTTGATTTTGCGATATGCCGAGTGGTGGTAATAAGCATCGTGGAATGCACCTCCAGCAGAAACTCTCTTTTGGTTAGAGAGTTGGCTAATTTTTATTTGATCGTATCGTGGGTGGTTAATGTGGCCGCAACTTGAATTCAAATGCGTTATTAAATGCTACATTAAATTGCATAATTGCGTTATGGTGCAGATGTCTGCTCAGTCTGCATAAGTGAAATGTTGCTAAGTAAGTTGGTGGTCATCAGTGACTGCACAAAAAAAAAAACCCCATCACATTAGCTTTGGATCTGCACTTAATTCGGTTAAATTTCATGCCTGACAATTAAAATGTCCCTTTCATTGCCACGCGACGAACAGCGCTGTCGTGTTGAGTGTGCCGTCCCGCCACCTTCGTGACGTTCCGCTCCCGGCCACGCATTGCATCGCGACACCCGCTCGAGACGGCGCCTGGCTTTGGCGGAGGACTTCACCCAGCGGTGGATTGACCCGTGGCTCGCGATGACGGTCGCATTGTTTCGCATGAAGAGGGTTACGAGTGCACCGCCGGGCCGTTGAGCTTACGGTACACGCGCGACGCAGAGCTCCGCTGAACAAGCTCCAATCCCCCCACCTTCCCCCCGCTGCTGATTTTGCAGCAGCGAGATTCGCGAACGCGCGAGCAGCTGCCGTGCAAATCGAGGCAGCGATTGGGAATAGAGGGGGGGCGGGGGGTGGGCAGGTGTGAGATCTTCCGCGGTTGTTGGACTGCCCGTCACGTGAAAGGGGGGGGGACCGGTCTTACGGAGTGCTGCCCATGTGTGGCTGAAATGGTTATGGGTCTCATCCAACTGGCCCAGAGGCATCGTTGAACCTTTCACAACCCGTTATTGATGTGGGTGTGTGTGTGTGTGTGATATAGCAGCCAACATCATGGGGTTTTTTTTGTTTGAATAAAAATATAACTGTGTAGAAATTGTGTTCTTACATCACTGAAATGACAATGCATTTTTGGTCTGGGAATTGCTCGAATTTTTTCCTGACTGCGTTTTACTAATGTGTTGTGATTAAAGGTGGTACGTCAACACCAAAGCGTAGACCGCATTCAAGTCTGTTTTACAAATGGACTATTTGTCCTGTGATGTTGCTGGTTCGTGTCGGTCTTGTGCGAACCAACAATCCTCCGCACCGTCCGTCGCTGATAACAAGCGGAGAGATGCGAGAGCAAGGTGTCAGTTTTGTACCAGTTTAAAGGGTTTAAACCTACTACTATATTTTGCCACTGGTAATGGAGGTCTCATAGTGTAAATGCTTACCCCGAGCTCTCAATACTCTAATAGTGCGCTGTGTATGAGTTGTACGCCTTTTGGCGTCATCTGGTCCAACCCAATGGAGACTAGGCTCTAAGAAAAGCTGTCTCGGCTGTGGACCAATCAACTTGAAGGACAGTGCATATTATTATCATTATCAGAGTTGTTTCTTTTAGTTTGCATTTTGACTGCTTGTGTTGTGGTTATTGCAAACATGATGCCTTGTATAAAGGTGTCAGTTTTGTGCCAGTTGAAAGGGTAAAAACCTACTACTAGATGCGAGAGCATTGGCACAGAGGTTAGCGCACTGCCGCCACGAGCCCGGTGACCCGAGTTCGATCCTTGATGACAGCCAACCCCGTCGGTGGCGAGTGATACACGAGTCGGTGCAGGGTCCCTCTCCCCTTTCACCAACACGTACTGGCCAGCATGGTGAATTATGGTCGAACAATTCCCCATGGCTGACGCAACATATGCAGCCCTTTTTATAGTAATATGATATTTTTTCTAGATTTGAAGTTTTCGCGACTGCAAGGATCCATACTCTTGGTTCTTTCGGTAAAGTCACGTGGGTAGAAAAAAAATCACGACGTTTCGATTGCAACACGAGCAATCGTCATCAGGTTTGACAACCACAGCAAGAAATGTTACTGTAAAAAAATGTTACTGTAAAAAAATGTTACTGTTAAATTTCTTGCTGTGGTTGAAATTTTACTGTAAAATTTCATGCTGTGGTTGTCACACCTGATGATGATTGCTTGTGTTGCAAACGAAACGTCGTGATTTTTTAAAATCTTTTATTTTTTATTTTTTTTTACCTACATGACTTTACTGAAAGAACCAAGAGTATGGATCCTTGCAGTCACGAAAACTTCAAATCTAGAAAAAATATCATATTTCTAATGGGTTGTATGTAATGATTGAAAATCACACAGCACATTGAAATGTTGGGCAGTGGTCCTTCTACAGAGTAGAGAGAGACGAAAGAGAGAGAGGTTATCTCGCCTGCAGGTGGTTGGAGATTGCATTTAGCAACGTGATGCCTTGGAATTGCTGTGATTTTTAAATCCTTTATATTAAGTTCACTTGCTTGCTTGCGCGCTTACGACCGTGCAAATCTTTTGGTCGTTTTTTAACCCACATCCCGTGATCCAATCGAGCTGACATTTTGCACAGACTCATTGTGCGTGACAATTTATTTTCGTGACAATTTTTTTCCAAAATTTTCCACTTTTTAGGAAAAAAAAAATGTCATATTTAATTTAAAATACCAATGTGATAAAAATGAAACTCTTACTCAAGAACAACAGAAATGAATAATAAAATGAAACCGATGCCACGCATATAAAGGATTTATAGTGAAAAACTCTGTTTTTACGGGTTAATTTTTTTCCCCCTGTAGTTGAGCGCGAGCGGAGTCCATGGAGACCACTGTTCGTCAACCAAATTTTGTCCGCGGGCCACGGAATAAAAATGAGCGCGAGCGTGCTGGCAGGCCATTCGACATCGTACCTTACCGACGCCCCGAGGCATCATGACGTCGTCCGGCCTGGACATGACCTTTAACCTCTACCTCTTTCCGACAGAGCTTGCCCCCCCCCCCCCCCCCCCCCGTTATCTCTTTTGTCAACTCGCTCATCTGTCCTTTTTTTTACCTGCGGCATTCTTATCCCGTCCGTCTTATCTCGCTTATCTGTCTCCTCTCCTCGAAATAATCTGTATCTCTCGTCTCCGGTTCTGTCATCCCTGCGTTTGATTTCTCTCTTGTTCATCTCACTCGGCTGCATCTTTGATCTTTTCGCTATCTTATCACGCGCGTGCAAAAAACAAAAATGAAGTTCTTCTCTTTCGTCACGCGAATTTGTCTCTTTGAGTCGTCGCGAAAGCGTATCTCTTTTGGCGGGGCCCCTTCAAGAGTGCGCCCAAGGGCCAGATACGGCCTACGGAGGCACTGCCAGTCGGAGATCCCTCGACGTAGACAGAGGCCGTGGTCATTTGCCACGATGGAAGCGCCTCACTCGGTCCGTTCACACAGCTCCGCCTTTTAAGTTGTCTTGTGGTTGTTGTTGTTTTTGTTTGACTTGCATCCAACTGGGATTTTTGCACACAGCGTTGGTGTACGGTGCTTTTTCTGCAATATTTTGCTGTCTTTTCTTGGATTTTCTGTTTGCACATAGTCACTTTAAGATGTTTTCTTGTTCATGTTTTAGTTTTTGTGTTTGTTGCGGTTGCACCCGATTCAAGAGCCGAATGGCTCACAGGGCTATACCTAATAAATGAACTTGAAACTTGAAACTTGCCTGTGCCGTGAAAGCCTCTCCGCTGCGAGGGGGATGAGCGTGTGAAGGCGGCGGAGCGCTGCGATGATTTTCACCGCGGCGTCTCCAATGCCCGTGGGTTCAGCCGAGCAATCATGAATCCCAACCCCGAGTTTTAACCCCCAGCCCGAGCCGACCCTAATCCGAAGCCTTAATTCCGTGACCCTCTCCGTAACGCTAACCCCGACCCCCCGAATGCCATCGTGTAAATGAAGCCGTAACCCGCGATTCTAATTTGAATCTGAACCCATAACAGTAACACAGAATCTAACCATCAACTCCAATGCTCATAATAACCCTAACTCCTTAAACGTAACCCTAACCCTGATCTTAATATAACTCGAGCCTAAACCTTCAACACTGTCCCCAAACCTACCCCGAGCATCAAACTTAACTCCTAGAATTTAAGATACTGACTCTAGCTCCTTGCGTTAACCCTTAACCGTAACCACTAACACTAACCCGTAACCACTAACCTTTAACAGTAACCCCCAGCCCTAACGATTAGCATTGACTCTTAACTCCTCGGTCTTCTTTCGTACGGCTGCTGATGTAGATGCAGAGCAACAACTTACATTTCTCATCTCAGGCGGTCGAGCCGACCGATCGCGCCGCGTCAGGAGGCAGCGGAGCAGCGTATCGCCGCGATGTCTCCGTCGTATTTTGTGGGTCGGGAGTTGCGTCCGTTCTATGTTCTATGGCAGCGGTCGGGAACCTATGGCTCGCGAGCCATATATGGCTCTTCCGGTGACGGCATATGGCTCCCAGACAATTTTGAGTTGAAAAAAATAATAATAAAAAAAATCAGTTTGGAACTGATTTTAAAATACTTGTGATATTACTTAATAATACTGTGTCATTTTAAAGTAAACAGAAATTAGTTTTGAAGATAAAATTTCTCGGGTCACGGATCCCGTGACCAGAAGTCGCATTAAAAGTAAGACATATTTAATTTATTATACGTTAAAAATACTATATGGCTCTCAATGAAATATATTTAGAAATATTTGGCTTTTATGGCTCTCCCAGGCAAAAAGGTTCCCGACCCCTGTTCTACGGTATATTCTGGACGGCCCTAACCCCTTATGGGGGATGCTGAGCTCCCATCGCCGACCCTAGCCCCTGATCTCGAACCCTCGCCGCAACGCGTGCGCTGTGCGCGTGTGCCGTGTGCGCTGTGCGCGTGTGCAGGCTCTCGCAGAGGATCGAAGAGAACAGGAGCCGGCTGCAGGGTCTGGACACACGCCTCTGTCTGGCCCAGGCCAAGATTGACCACATGAAGGGCAGCAAAAAGGCCATCAAGGTCAGTCGGGGGGGGGGGGGGGGTCTGGCAGCGGCACAGGGTGTCGTTGACCAGTCCGGCAGTCCGGGTTCGAGCTGCGCGTTGAGGGTTGGAAACGCGGTGCACTCGTAAAATCGCCTATATTGAAAACTAATTTCTTTAGAACTGATTTTTGTGTCTAGTTTATTGTCCCCCCCCTCCTCCTCCTCCTCCCGCATCACCGATTAGTGCGATTGGCTTTGTACCGTGCCAAAGAAGTTCAACAGACATACGTGTGTGTGTGTAGAGACAGTTTTTTGGCGAACCATCGAACAAAGACGGTCACGGCCTCGCGTGCTTTCGGATGCACTTTTTGCAGCTGTCTGGAGTGCTCTTCTTTCCGATATCAGGAAGCCACTGGAGCTATGCACTTTGAAATCATCTAAATGGAAAACGAATTTCTTCAGAACTGCGTTTTGTGGTTAGTTTTGTTGTCCTTCGCCCGCAAATCTGATTAGCGCGGTTGTCTACGTACGGCGCGAAAGAAGCTCAACATAGAAACACGTTCTCAAACTTTCTCTCGAGCTTTTGCCACGCACTACCGCGGGCGTCTTAGTAGGAGTTGAAGGTCGAACTCAAGTCGCCTCGGTGGTAGCGCAGCACCCCAATCACGTCGCCACCGCTCCTCCGCCCACTGCCAAAACATTCCAGGGAGTCGAAGGTGCCCGCAGTTGTGCGTGGCGAAATATTGAGAGGGAAAAAAAGTATTTGAAACTCGGCCTCCCCTGGAAGACCGCGCTGGTATTTTGAGCGACGATGAGAGTGTATGTGCTCGAATGCAGTTCCCTATGTATGTACGTAAGTTGAACTTCTTTCGCACCCTACGAAGCCAACCGTGCTAATTGGAGGTGCAGGGGAAGGACAACAAACGAAATACAAAAAAGCGGTTCTCAAGAAATTAGTTTTCAATGTCGATTTAAAAGTGCATGGCTCCAGTGGCTTCCTAATGTCGGAAGGGAGAGCGTTCCAGACGGCCGCGCAAACGCATCTGAAAGCGCCGCGTCGCGTCGCGGTGACCGCCGTCTTTGTTTGATGGCCAGCCAGAAGCCGCTGCTGCGAGGACGACCGGAGTCCGCGTGTGATGGTTTATGCTCCTTGAGGTCAGCGGGGCATTGTGGTTCATTTGTGGCAAGCACTTTGATGTGGGTGGAGTTTTTTTTTTCTTCCTTACTGTGATATCCATGGGTGGGGGAGCGGCGGTGTTATGGGCAATACTGCCCTGCTTGGATGAGTGACGTCATCGTCGTTGTCGTCATCAGCCATGATCTATCCACTGCTTGATGAAGGCCTCTCCAAGCCGCCACCGTCTCTTGCCCGTGTAACGACTCACACGTGAGCTGATTTAATTGCTCCAACTCTGCGCGGGTCCCATTTTCTGGCCTGCTTCCTCCTTTGGTGATCATACAACTAGTAGAATGAGAAATACAAAACAATAATAACGAGAAAAATAATTTACATCCCTCTTTCAATCCTATGCTAGATGAAGGCCATCCTCATTCATTCGTGGGGTTTGTTTGACCATACTTCACCACGCTGGTCAGTGCGGTCTGGTGATGAAAGGGCCCAGCGTCGTTCCAGACATGACTCTCTCCTATACCTGTCAAGCCCTTATCAGTGCCCTACCTTATTACAGACCAATTCAGACCTTATTGGTCACCTCCGTACCCTTAAAAATCTCAACGTTCATCCTGAAAAGTCCCATCACAAGGGAGAAACACAAACATGTTTTTTTACTCAATTTCCCTGTACAAGAACACGGGTAAGCCGTATTGGTTGACAGGTATGCTCTCCACTGTGCCGGCACTAAACATCAGAGGTCGCAACCGGGTACCTGATACCCGTACTCTACCCGATATTCGGCTGCCCATACCCGGCCAGGTACGGGTACCCGTTTGCGACCCTGGTGCAGCCGGGTACGGGTAGGCCGTGAGTCACTGGTGAGTAACCGTTTGTCACTCATTTCGGGTAGGGTACGGGTACGGGTAGGGAACGGGTACCCGTTTGCGACCCTGGTGCGGCCGGGTACGGGTACGGCTAAGGAATCAAAACCCGTTTGTGACTTCTGCTAAACATGCATAGAGTGTTGTACCTGTAATACATTTCTTATGGGGCTGAGTTGACCTTGACCCAGGACTTGAACTCAAGCTGTCGCGACTCTGTGCGAGAGCGCCCTCCTGTTTTTCTCCCCCCACTAATGCCCGTTCATGATCCCGGGGAAAGCCACACGGCTCAGCTTGTGATTTAACTGTTAACCGAACAAAGAGGTGGTAATGGACGTTTTACATGGCTTGTTTAACTTAAGCAGCCTGCCAATAGGTGATTGCGTGTGCAATGACTTTCAGAAAGGTTACAATGTGGGCCTCTGGTTAACACATTTTCTTAATGCGCAACTTTGTTCGGGGTGGCATTTTACTGAATCAGCTGCTTATTTATTGATTCGCAAACGGGGACGCATGCCTTGTGCGTGCGGGGCGCGCGTATGTGTGCGCGCGTACGCACGGCACCTGGTGGCACTGCGGATAGGGAGGGCTTGACTCGCGATAAAACGAGTTGTCGGTTCGAACCAGCCCCACGATTCCTCGGGAGATCAATAAAATCGGTGCCACTTTGCTCGGCACGCAAACGTCCGCTTGTCCTGTGTGCGGAAAATATCCCCAGCCACTGTAACGTGGAATCCGCACGGTATGGCTACGAGCCACCAATGTGTAGAAGTGCAGCTGCCCATTGCTTTGTAGAGCAGCTCTTTTACAGCACTTTCTGTAAACGGCTGCGAAACTTGTCTCACGAAAGGGTCCGTATTAGTTTTTTGGTTCTTTCGGTGAAGTCACGTAAAAGGGAAATAATAAAATAATAAAATTTAAACATAATAAAATACAATTCTCTGGCCGCCAATTTGATGCGGCTCACGCCATTTGTTTTCTAAACTTACATCACTGGGTGCATAGCAGAATGCGCTGACATTTATAGCTACATCGATGAAATACGGATGATCGAGTTTGGGGTCATGTTTGATTAAATGTATTAGATGTGTGTAGATATGTTGAACTCCGTTTGCACTGTAAGTAGCCAACCGCCCTAATCGGAGGGTGTGTGGGGAAAGGACAACAACCTAAACACCAAAAGCAGTTGTAACAAAATTAATTTTCAGTCTAGTTTTAAAAGTGCATATCTCCCAGTCGCTTTCATATATCGGAGGGAAGAGCGTTCCAGATGGCCGCAGAAGCGCATCTGAAAGCGCCCGCGCGATGCGGTAAAAGAGCGTTTACCGAGGTCGTTTTATCCCTCTACAATTTCATGCGGCTCCGGAGACGTTTGCCGATGCCTTGCGTCGTAAGAGCGGAGCGAATTGCCCGACGTGAACTAAATTGCGAGTGTAATTATTCCTCGCCGCGCTCCCCGACGTTTGATAATCCACACCGCCGCCGCGAGCGAGCGTAAAGGGAATCGGGCGAACGGGACGGTGAACCTCGAGACCTCGGCAATGAAGGGTTGTTATTGGCTGGCTTTGATGCCGACCATCAAGCATCATTGGAAAAGCCGCCCCCTCCCCCCCCCCTTCACTCGGCCGTTGTCTCCATAGGCCGCGTGCCCACGGGCTTCACAATAAAAAAAAAAATCCTCGATTCCGAGAACCCACCCCAATGACCTTTTAGGCAAGTGCGTTAAATATTTAATAGGACAATAAGAATAATAACGGCTTTAAATATATTCGGTGTCGTTTGATATCTGCTCGAGGTGGAATTCCGCCCGCGACACTCTCGGGCCTCGGAGTCATCGTGAAATGTCATTAATGCGGAGTGGCACATTTTTAACGTCCCGACAGATCGCACCTAACGGCTCTAATCGCAAGACTCTGTTCGCTGCAGTGCAGTGCGTTTCCCACGACGTCGAGCAAAACGCGGGCATCGCCACATTGTTACGAATCAAAGTAGCCCATTGGCTTGAAGTTATATTAGAAACATCTTTTACCGCATCGCGCGCTTTCAGACTCTCTTCTGCGGCCATCTGGAACGCACTTCCTATCCAATATGAGGAAGCCACTCCAAGCTATGCACTTTCAAAACCAGATTGAAAATTCTATTCTGGAGAACTGCTTTTTTGTTTTTACTTTGGTTGGCTACGTGCGGTATTTTGTCGACGTAGTTACACATGCCGGCACATTTGCGCTATGCACACGAGCGACAAAAGTTTGATTCTCGAACATGGCCCACGGCTACCGCAAGTGGCGAGTGATTTCCAAAACCCGTTTTGGTCTCCACTCTCCTTCACTCGCCCAAGCCGAGGAGTGGATGTGGCGTGCGAGTCGGTTAATAAGTAAAACTCAATTTTACGTAGCGCCATTCAAGCAAGGCCTCGCAGCGCTTTATGTACGTTGAACTTCTTTCGCACCATACTCAGCCAACCGTGCTGATCGGATGTGGGGGGGAAAGACAACAAATTATCGGTTTCTGTGCAAATCTATGGATTTGAACGTTGAGATTTATAATAATAATAAAAGTTAAATTTATAACGCGCGCAAATTTGCAGACGTAGTGACCGCAACTCAGAGGCGCGGAGCCAAGCTCAGAGTCGCTCGAAAGCATGATTGTAGAGGTGAGTTTTTAAGTCTCTCTTGAAGGAGGCGATTGAGGTGATGCTGCGAATGTGCAAAGGGATATCGTTCCAGACTGTTGGGGCTGCCACCGAGAAGCGGCGCATAGACACGATGACCATCCTGGATCTTGGTATCAAGAGGAGGTCGTGAGTCGCGCTGCGCAGGCATCTGCCGTGTGCTGAGCTGCAGGTTGTCAATAATGAAGAAAGGTACGGCGGGCAGGCGGATATGAAGGCGTTGTGGCAGAGGCAGGCGGTCTTGTGTGTGACCCTACTGGCGATGGGGAGCCAGTTGAGAGCACGGAGACAGGCGAGTGAGTCGAGACGGGGATGAGTGTGGGCAATGACGACGCGTGCTAGGTTATTTTGTAGGGGCACGGGGTGACCAA